TCCAGGACGTGGCGGTATAGACCATATATTCACTTTGCGGCAGGTGTTACAGCAGCGCCACGTATACCGCAGATCGACAATAGCTGTGTTCCTCGATTTCAAGAGTGCGTTCGATTCAGCCGATCGATCGATCCTGTTCGAAATACTTGCGCGGAAAGGTGTTCCCACGAAATATGTGAACATCCTTCGTGCTCTATACTCGAACACTACAGGCCGCGTCAGGGTCTATGGTGTCCTATCGGATAGCTTTCCGAACACAAGTGGCGTTCGTCAGGGTTGTCCGATTTCCCCATTTCTGTTCAATTTCGTCATGGATTTTATCATGGAGTGTTCCCTGACGGAATCCAACAATGTAGGTGTTGTAGTGCTGACAGGTGAAAGGTTAGTTGATCTAGATTATGCGGACGATATCGTCTTGCTTTTCGACGGTGTTGGGGCGGCATAATCAACCCTGAATAGCCTGTCCAGAGTGGTCCCATTATTTGGTATGCACTTCGCACCTTCAAAGTGCAAAGTGTTGTTGCAGGACCACCAGCCATTTGATGACCCCTTGACGCTTGCTAACGAGGAACTCGAGGTTGTTGATCATTTCACTTATCTTGACAGCTGCACCAGTAATGAGAGGCGCATAGAAACTGACGTGAGCTCACGCATTGCAAAGGCCAGAGATGTCTTCTTGAACCTGCGGCATCTTTGGCGACAGAAGGGAGTTTCCCTCCTTCTGGAAGGCCGTGTATACAAGGCCACAGTGAGGGCCGTTCTGCTCTATGGTAGTGAGACTTGGCCCCTTCAGTCTGAAGATCTGAGGCGCCTTCAAGTCTTTGATCATCGTTGTTTGCGAAGCATTGCTGGTGTCGGATGGCACCAGCGTGTCCGCAACGATGATGTGCGTAGGCAACTACTAGGTAGTGGTAATCATGCTAGCTCCGTAGAACAGCAGATAGCACTGAATAAGTTGCGTTGGCTCGAGCACTTGCTACGTATGCCTGGTCACCGCTTACCTAGGAGGGCCTTGTTCAGTCTACCAGGTGTCGGATGGCGCAAGGCTCGAGGTGGACAGAAGTTGACTTGGCAGAGGGAAATGAAGTCACTGACGACCAAACTGGGTGCCGTTGGTCCGTCTCGCCTTCCGGGTTGGAGTCCACGTGACTCGCCTTGTGCTTGGCTCGAGACTTTACAGGACATGGCTGGCAACCGACACCAGTGGCGCGTCTGCTGCCGTCTCCTAATTGGATTGCCTGTTTAAAGTGTGTTTGGTGCTGAGTTATTTGCGGGGTACTGGCTGATTATGACGCGTGGCAGTGAAAGCCGCAAGGAAGCTGTCTCGCCGATGCCGCCTTATCTCTGCACGATAGCCAGCTGTTTGTGACGGTATGTTGTTAACACAAGGTGTAGGCGCCTTGACCCTGAATGTTTGCTTAGGGCATTAAGGCTTTCACGTAAGTCCCCTCTCTCTCCCTCTTCTTATTCTTTATTTAATAGGTTTTCATGATTGTATGACAACGAAGCATCAGTTCAGATGGCTAATGTACTGCTGTTGATGATGATGATGATGATGATGTCCCGGGCAATCGATCGCTCAGCGGAGGTATGGAAAGGAATTCAGAGGAGTGTAAACAACGAACGCAACGTCAGTTTACATGATAGTGGAAAGAAAACGTAGAGATAGACTAATAATTTAGCCATACTATGAATCTAGTGTAGAAGTAAATAAAACTTATTTAAAAATGTTGCAGTGAGTCTACTATTTGCAACTGCGGGATTGGTTTTATTGAATTTGGTGGTTGAGATCAATCGAACTTTTATGTAGTTTCAGTCTGACAGCACTCGGAAGGAACGTTTTCGCTCATGAGCTCAATTGATTCCCTCCCATATTTGTTTTCATTTTATCCGCTCTCTTTATTTAAACATTTTCGATCCTCAGCAAATTACTCCCTTGCTTGTTGTTTCATATATCATACGGTCCTTCCTCAAACGATCTATCATCATTTATTTGAAATTTTAGGATTTGTTTCACTTATGCTACCGTTCAGAAAACCTTATTTTTGTTTACTTCGCTTAGGATTTTTGTATATCGTATTCAGCCCGTGGCGGACCTGTACGCTACCGGGCGCGTCCCCAGGTTGCGGATCGGGGAATGCTTTCCTTTCGGAGTTAACTGCGAAAAACCTCGTGCGCTTTGATAGCGAGATGAATAAGCAGTCGCGGACAACCAGCGGCAACCTCTCAGAGCGTGGGAGGGGGGGAGGGTTCTTGGCTGGTCACCTGGTTCTCCATCAAATACCACAAGAGCTCATACGATGCTGTGCCAAAGTCCGTGACCGGCTATAGGCTCACTGACCCCTCACTTCTGTACCTAGAGGTGAGTGTCTAACGGAGGTCGGATGAACAACATTGCTTGCCACCGGCTTCTCTGTGGACTGCAACTGAACACAAAAAAGGCGAATGAGCCATCTGGCTTTCAACGATCTTCTTATTCGTCCCGCTGCCTTGCGGGTCAGGTCTTTAAGACCAAAGGCTCGGGGCAGGGTCCCTTAACTCAACCCTCTTCCTCGGCCTGGGCAACCGCGAAAGTCTCTGCCCACGCAACACTTGGATCTTCGCATCCTTTCCCCAGACTCCCTCCTTTTTGTTGTTGTTGTTACTCATGTGTTGTGGCACTCTGCCAAATGTTTATTGGTCATGTTAAATAATTAAATGAATAAATAAATATCGTATTCAGCTAAGCAGCTTATTCCATACCTTACCTACCCTTATAAGGTAACAATTCTGTCTGGCTGTGGTCATGAATGGAGGCACTACAATCATACATTCGGTGTCGCCTATTTCATATCTGGTTTCTGACCGAAATTGCATAGAGCGGTGTTAACTATGCACCTTATGCCAAACAACTTTGTGAAGGAAACCAAGATTTACATGTAATTTGCGCAACCATCAAGTCTCTCATTTTAGCTCACTTCATCTATATAAGGAACAACTGAAATAACCATAGATGCCTTTAGTGAAGGTACGTTGGACATTTTCCATGGCATTCACCTGGGCCTTATATTGGTTTTATGTGCCATGAGTCTTGTCTCTTTCAGCGTTAGTAACCGACTAATATATCTCCTTACTTGCATCAGTCTAGTCACGCTATAGTTCGCATGTGCGTTGAAGTTTAGGGAGATAGAGTACCACAGTCCACAAGAGCAAACTGGAATGGCATCACTATGAAGTAGAAATACTCCTGCCTCTATATAGCATCCATAAGTCATTGTATTGCATTTTGATGTGGAGAAAAGTGTCTGCCATTTCACAACCCAGCCTTTTATGGTTTGTAAATCGCACTTATTATTTGCTACTTCATCTATATATTGAGGTGAATGGAGTGTACGCACTACTTTCAAATCGTTTGCAAGCGTTTGACAGGTATAAGATCATTTATGTAAAATAAGAAAAAAGAGGACCTATGACTCTGCCTTGCACTACGCCACCAGTAATTAGTTTGGTCGTAGATATGAGCCTACTTATGTTGACTGCGAGCGTCCTGTCATATGGGATTAAAATCAGGAAAGCGCGGGTTTGATATACTAAAGCCACTCAGTTTCAACTATAGGCTTTTGTACAGGACTCGATCAAAAGCTTTCATCATGTCAAGATAGAAGACAATGCATTGAAGTCCATGGCCGATCGCTCCGGTGATATTATCTAAGAAATTAATTTTGCAAGTTATGCACGAACGGGCTTTAGAAAGCCTTGTTGCAAAAGTGTAAGATTGTGCGATAATAGGAAAAATATGAGTTTTCACTTTACAATTCTCCGTCAACCTTGATAAGGTGAAAGCGTGACTAATGTGGCGATTTTAATCGCGGTATGACACCATATTTCTTCCATCTCTTAGGATACTGGCCTGACTGTAAGGACAGGGAAGAAATATTCAGCGGTACTGGTATATGATCACCAACACATTTGATTACAGCTGAAGAGATACCATCGGGACCAGGATTATAGGATAGTCGTAGCAAATTAATCCTGCGTTTAATGACTCCTGTTGAGGTCCACGATAGAATCAGTTTCACGGATGATAGATGCGAATGGAGGTGCCAGAATCGCATTTTCTGTGCTAAAAGATTCAACTAGTTATGCACTAAAGGCATCTGCTATAGCAGTAGACCTGTCGACAACACTGCCCTCTAGTGGGATAATATGTTAAAGTAGGCCTGTTTGTCTACATTTTCTCTTTATTTGTAAAATACTTAGCTCACCAACTTTGTTCTTCCTGTATAACATGCTTTCTTTTTCTGGCATCCGCTTCAACTACACGTTTTTGGACGCAACGTCATGCTGAAATCACGAGCGTTTTCATAGGTTCGAGCCTGATTCGCGAAATTTTTTCTATCCTTATCAACAGTGGTGAGGTTAACCGAAGGTTCTGCACAAGGTGTCTTTTGCAGCAAGTCAGCACTTACAAACAATGGTGTATGTTTTGATAAAACGGATCAGAGACATCCTGAAGGTCTTGGAACAGGCTGCAAAAAGTCCCAAATTTTAAACTGGTGTATGCTTGAAAATGACTTTAGTTTACGTTTTGATGGGAGTGAGTGCTGTACTGAATGCACATTTGAGGACACGGCCTCTATTTTAAGGCCACTAATCTGGGAGGCCCCGTAGTACATCAGTGGCAATGGAAATAGGGCCTTAGGTGAGATATAGGTCCAGCACACCTTTATCCCTTGTGGGTGGAAGGATACATCGAGCCCATCGTCCAGTCTTACTTCCCATCAGATGTTGCTCGTTACCTGCCCCATGCTCATTGATGTGGCGCTTGCTTTTTTCTTTTTCAATTCGTGCGACGTGTGGTCTTATTTTGTGTGTGAAAGCCGCCATCACCCACTGTCTCATATCGGCTAACCAACGATACCGCTATACTCTTGAAATGTTTTGTGTCTTAGCTTCATTGTTATTGCATTCCTCCGCAGTCCACCTCTACTTCCCCCCTACCCTTTAATTCTCCTGCGCAGCCAATGCTCTTCGCCCCCGCCCCTCATCCTGTGCCGTTGATGAAGGGTGAGAAACAACGTCCACTCTATCAGTACTGTTGTCGGCAGATCGATGCCATGGCTAATCAGCTCGGCACATTACCACTGCTAATTGACGCTGATTATGGTGAGTTCCTTTTGTTCTATCCAATTTGAATAAGCTTTCCAACTTCTCCACAGATCTTGACTTTATTCCCTCAATGTTACTTCATCTGCAATGTGCTGCGTATCATCCTGCATTTACTCCCAATAATGTCTAAGTTTTGTATCTCTCATTAAGCTGATTAGCCGCCCGTAGTGCATCTACCAGTTTAGACGGATCTTTACATGTGTTGATCGTCTTTTAGATTCTTGCAGACATTGGGCGGTTTTCCGGACAATAGTGGAGCGTGTTTTTTGTCTGGGCGCAATCGATCACCGGACTTTGTCAAGGAACCAAGTTGTCTCGTCGCAGTTATTATGCAAGTTTCATTAGCACAGGGATAACTTAATACCTTATGCCATAAGGAGATGTTGGACACAAATCTGTTATCATTTTTGTCTCTTGGTTTGTCTTTTGTGATATCACAAGAGTGGTTCGGGTTCATCATCTGATCGATAGTAACTGTCTGGAGCTACCTTGGCTTCTCACTCAGTAGTTACCCCATTTTCCAATAGTACTGTAGCCATAGTATAATCATCCGACTTAACCACCACTTTAATCAGTGGATTTTGTTGAGTGGTTGGTCGTATAATTGGATGACTTACCAACCCCATCACTAGGTATCGGGGGCTTAGCTACAGTCCACAGGTGGTATCATTTTCACCTAAATGGGTTCCAGCCAATTTTCAAATTTCACCTCGGGATTACCAGCGGGCTGAGTTTCTCCACTTCCTACCGAGCTGATTGGACCGGCTCTCAAAGCACCAAGATGCGTCTCTGAGTATAGCTCGCTGGGTCGTCGAATTTCACAGCCAGTCTTACCAGACCAAGTTCCACCTTTGTGGAGCTTTTCTAACTTCAAAACGGAACTTCTTGGAAGTCTCCATAATCCCTTCGACGTGAATCATTTATTCGCACTTTATATCCCCCCCCCCCTCGCAATTTCCGCGGCTCTGTTACACGTCCTCTCTTAATTTCATTCAGATTCAACCATTCCTGGTGGACCTGTTGGTGGTCAAACTCGGATCCTAGTCCGAAACGAGCACGCCTCATACATTTTAACTTGGTACGCCTATTTCGCCATCCACTTCATAGTTACTTGTTTGGATCGCCTTATAATTTCTATTGGTTAAAAACTAATCTGACTATCCAATTGTTTCCTGAGCATACCTAGGAGACAGAATGATTTTGGCTATGGAACTGAGCCCACTGATTTCGCTGTTTCAACGTACCACGATCAGCGTCACCGAGTGCTTTTCTGGCTACGCGACAACCTTTTTCTAGTATCATGTTGGTCAGTGGTACGAGTAGACTGGCTACAATACTTGCTTGTGGCATGATACTGTTCCCCTTGCTGTACCCCTCTCTGTAGCTGAAGCTTAAGTGTCGGAACACCAGTATAGATCAATGGATACCGTGGCCGGTGGCCGAACGAATTAGGCGCATGTTTCGTAATTCGGAGGCCACCGGTTCGAATCCGCCTAGGTGCGGGTGACCTTGTGGTACACCCAGCCCACGCGCGACGTGATGGTTGCGTGGCTACGAAGGATCGGTACAGTGTGCCGGCATGGTGTTGATATCTACCGGGTATCCGTAATCCTATGCCCTAGTGCGTTGGTCATTGGTGTAAACAGTTAACCGCGGTCAACTCTTAGAGCCACATCGATGCTCTCATTTCTACTTCGGTGTGGAACTACGAGGCCGAAGGAGGAAAGATTGCGCACAACCTCACGACAACCATTCAGCTCATAAAGGTACGCGTCCCCTTGTTTTGGGATAGCGCCATCGCAGATTCACCATACTAAAAGCAGTATCCTAACCAAATAGGTTTCTGCGGTTCGCTCTGAGACACTGACTCCAGTCTAGATGTTTCGGGCTACTGCTAGAGGGGTTACCACTTTCTTCTATTCAAGTCACGTCAGAATGAGCTTCATCAACCCAGTTTGACCATTTTCAGCATTTACATTATCCAAATAAGAATATCAGAAGACGAAGCTTGTGGGATGACATTGTCATTTCGTGCATACTCGTGAACCACATACAAGCAACTAACAAGGAATGCAAAACAATGTCACATGAAATCAATTATTGATCGTGTTTCCCGATTGGCGCGCTGCACGCTAACACGGTAGGCTGAATACCACTGCCAGCTGTTTTTGGACACAGTGATGGGCGCTGTCGATCGATCCCAATGACCTCGAATAGTTTGAGTACGTGAGGCCTTTGACTGGGCATGAGGACTGTGAATGAGTCATCCGGGTTTACTTGGTGACCAGTGCTCATCAAATGCCTCGTGATTCCGGAGGCAATCTTGTTTCTCCATTTACCGCGTACGACCGTCGCATTTTCCATCTGGTTACGGAATGTGTGGCCTCAAGCTCCTCGAGGCCATTGTGATCGATCGACATCGCCTATCACTGTGTGCCCAAAACAGCTGACAGTGACATAAAGCCTACCGTGGTAGCGTGCAGCGCACCAATCGGGAAACACTTGATCGATAATTGATTTCATGTAATGTTGTTTTGCATTCCTTGTTAGTTGCTTGTACGTGGTTGACGAGTATGCACGAAATGACATTGTCATCCCACTATGTTCGTCTTCTGATGTTCTTATTTGTAATTATAAAAGGAGATTCATGTTTCAGATTTACATTATCACTGCGAATCTACTGAAAGATGGTTGGCGGCATCCGGTTTCGGATTTGCCTGTCACTGTGGCCAGCCACAGGACGCCTACGCCTACAGAGGGATCATAGGTGGCTTGCGCTGCACCGCCCACAGCTCCAATCGGGAGGCATGTGGATGAGAGCCACGTTTCATCAACGGAGCCGGCCCACACTCCTTCACAGACAAACACAAGCACGCTGTATTTGGGAATCAAGCGCACACAAGGCGGTGGCTGGACCGTAGTCCGCTTCACACTGAGTGCATGGAACCACTCTTCGAGCCTAACACGGCCACAAGGACCGTGCACCCTGCCCCCTCCAGCAACGACCAACTGTCTCCTGGAGCCAGATGGACGAGGTAGTGGGTAATAGACAGGTAGGCACCTTGTCAACATGCACATCAAGCGCAGCCACACCGGGGATATCAAGCAACAGCCAATCACTTGAGAGAAAGATAACCAAGAAAAAAATCGAGTAGTGCATGAAGAAACGGTGACATAACTCTTAAATTAATGAGCATATGAAATAAGTTGTTTACCAATGAATACGAGGTAAGTTCACGGGGTCAGGAAGTTTATTTTACGGAAATGCTACAAACACGAAAATGTTATCGAAATAACTACAAGTGGCTTAAGCGACGTGTGTAAGTGTATAGAAGAGAGCTTAAGTAGGCAATAATATGGGAAAAAAGCATTAGGACAAAATTGAAAACCCACCACCTGAAATAAATAGACAGCATGCAAGCACGCTGTTAGTAAATCGAATGCAGCGTACCTACAAACGCTGCGCCGGTTCTGCCTACGTTCTCTGCAGGACCCGTCGTCGCTTCGGTAGTGGTCCCGAGTGGCCTCGCTCATGGCTCACTAAGCCTGCCTGACTCAGGCACTCGCGACCGCATGTGCTACAGCACCATGCACTCGATGTCGATGGAGAACAACCCATCGGTGCTTGCCGCTTCTTCTCTGCATGTATGAGGTCTTTTTTCCACACTTCGGCAACTGCCTTCATGATTAGATCGCGCCATGCACCCCGATCAACCGCCTTTGATTCCCATGACCTGCAATCAAGATTAGAACGTGAGAGGCTCACTTTGATCATGTCCTGGTAACGTAACTTTGGTTTCCCCACATGCCGCTTCCCAATACTCAGCTGACCGTATCAAAGTTGTTTCGGTATCCGCGTTGAATCCATACGCCACACATGACCGAGCCACCTCAGGTGTCTCAGCAAAAGTATGCAGTCCACTGCATACATCCCACTTTGTCGCAACACTTCCGTGTCAGCAACTCTATCGCCCCAACTGATGCGCAAAATTCGTCGCAGACACTGCTGATGGAACCGCTCGAGATATCGCACATCCCGACGGTACATCGTCCACGTTTCACTGCCGTATAGAAGAACGGACAGCACCATGGATTTGTACACCATCAGCTTCGTGCTAATGGTAAGCTGATGGTTGTTCCACACTCGGTACTCTAGCTTCCCAAATGCCGCCGCTGCCTTCGACACGCGGATACGAAGCTCACTGTGAAGCTGCTGGTCAGTCGACATCACACTCTCAAGGTAGCAGAAGCGGGAGGTGGTTTCTAATACTTCAGCACCAATGCTGATTCGCGGCAATATTGAAGATTGCACCTCCGGTGAAGGCTGAAAGAGACAGACAGTTTTGCTTGTGTTGATGGTGAGCCCGAATTTGGCCGCTGTCGAAGCCAGAGCACTAGTCATGTGCTGCAACTCATCCACGCTGTGCAAACAACGCACAGTCGTCAGCAAACAGCAACATACGGATAGTTGTCTCACAGACTAGAGTTCGCGCACCGAAACGACGGATGTTCAGCAACCCACCATCAATACGGTGCTCCACACGAACACCGCAAGCACAAACGGCATCAAAAGCACAGGACAACATTGCATGAAGATATATATTAAACAGGGCAGGAGCTAAGACACAGCCTTGCTTCACACCAGAGACAACTGCAAAGTCATCCGAGGTCTCTCCACTCAGCTGCACCCTCGCTCGCATACCACTGTGCAGACATTCAATTAAACTTACAAACTTACGCGGGCAACCAAACTTACCCAACACCAGCCACAATGCCTCGCGGTTCACCGTATCAAATGCCTTGGTGAAATCAACAAAAAGCGAGTACAATGGCTGGTGTCGTTCTCTGCACTTCTGCAACTGACGAGCCGCAAACACCATATCTATAGTGCTGCGACCCGAACGAAATCCACATTGCTCTTCCGCCACGTTAGGTTCCACAACCTGACTGACGAGGCGGTTGAGCAGGATTCGGGCAATCACCTTGCCCACACAACTCAGCAAGTTGATGCCACGATAATTCGTGCAACATTGCTTGCTCTCTTTGCCTTTGTACAGTGGTAGCACAAGGGCATCCTTCAGCTCAGGAGGCACCTCCTCCTCAATCCATACGCGTTGCACCAAGTGGTGCAGCGCAGTCAACAACGCGGGTCCGCCGTGTTTCAATACTTCAGGCGGGATCCCGTCGGCCCCGGCACACTTGCCGTTTCGCAGCTGAGCAAGTGCTCTCTGCGTCTCATCCAGTGTCGGCGTGTCCGCCAGACTCGCCTTCACATCGTGCTGCTTCAGGCCGTTCAAAGTAGGCCAGTCGATCTCTGAACGGTTGTTCAAGAGACAGTCAAAGTGTTTCCGCCAGATCTGCATTATGTCTGCAGTCTGTGTGCAGGTAGCGCCTGAACTACCATCGATCAGCGTCCTCAGCGGCTCCAATCTCGGTCCATACACCGCCTTCAAGGAGTCAAAGAATTCCTTGTGTTGGCGGCGTTCGGCGTAGCATTCCATCTGCTTCGCCTTCTCCGTCCACCATGCATTTTTAATGCGACGGAGCTCTCGGGTCAGTCGCCGTCGAAGTTTGCGAAACTGACTCTTCTTCCCCAAGTCACTGGGGTCTGCAACATGTGCAGCAAATGCTGCATTCTTCTCCGACACCAATGCGCCAATCGTCGCATTGTTGTCATCAAACCAATCAGGCCGCTTACAGTTTGCGCGCCCGATGGTCTCCTCGGCAGCAGCTGTCACCTGGTCGCGAATGTGGTGCCACAGGTCGCCCACTGTGGCTATGCAGTCCACATCACACAGGCGTGCAGCCATCGCCTTCTCCAGCTCAGTACGTTTCGCCCCAGTACCGAGGGAGAGAATGTTAAATTTACGCCGATTCACGGCGGGAGTGCAATACATAGATTTACGAAAATATATGTACAGTTTTGTCCGCACCAATTTGTGATCAGTGCCACACTCAGCTCCACGCAGTACACGTGTCATGCGCACTTCACGCATATCACGCTGACGTACGATGACAGTCGAGCAGGTGAGCGTGACCACTCCGTGGGTGCGTCCAAGTTGCTATATCACTCGCACTCAGTGCAAACCGAGTGTTCGTGATCGTCAGGCCGTGAGTGGCACACAGTGAGAGCAGCCTGTCACCGTTCGCATTCGCTGAACCAATGCCATGCGGACCGATAACATCTGTCCACACCGATGCATCACGCCCAACGCGCGCGTTGAAATCACCCAGCAGAAATAGTCGGTCGCTCCTCGGCACAGACCGTATCACGGAGGATAGCTCAGTGTAAAATTGATCACGCATGTCATCAGGATAACACATGGTCGGACCGTATGTGCTTATAAAGGTGGCAAACTTACCTCTTCCGAGTCGTAGGCGAACAGTCATCAGTCGCGCGCTGATGCCTGTTGGTTCACCCACCAGCTGGCCATGGAGGCGATCGGATATTGCAAATCCGACCCCATGTTCACGTGGTGCTGAGGCGGCGTTGCCCACCCAGTAGAATGTGTAGCCAGCACCTGCTTCATGCAACTTACCTTGCTCAGCGAGCCGGGTTTCAGTGAGCGCCGCAATATCGATGTTGTAGCGCGCCAGTTCCATCGCGACGAGTGCAGTGCGTCGCTCGGGGCGCTCGCTGGAGTTCCGGTCCAGTAGTGTGCGCACGTTCCAGCACCCGATGCTGAGTGCTTTGCGCAGGCATACGATTGCATTGGTGGGCAATCGCACGCGAGGTGGTCGTTGTGCTTCGGAGGTTTGCTTGAGGGACTCCACCCGGAGCCTTTGGCTCAATAGCCTGACCCACAAGGCAGTGGGGAGCAAATCCAGCTCGGGAATGTGATTGCAGAGACAGATTGGGATCTGCTTGACGGCTGTCACACGCAGCCTTGGAGGTACTGGAACGATTTATATATATTTTGCGACCGTAATAGGATACACCTGCGACCACGGCCAGACGAAGGTGGGTTTTGGCGGGTTTGCACCAATTTGACCAGGGGCTGCCTGGCTTGAGGCGGGCAGTAGCAAACCATTGAACACCCGGAGGTGCCCTTCCACCGTCAGAGACAATGCGTGGCGCTCGTGCTCTACGCCAATCGAGCTGTGAGCTTATAACCCGTAGACCTGTTGTCTCCCATGGCTAGGTTTTACGGGAAGAGGGCCATCGACCACTTCCTAACCTCTGAAGAGGATGGACTAGGATACTGGCAGGGCGCCCACACCTGACAGGAGAACGACTCGGGTCCTCAGCCAAAGCCTTCGATTAAATGAACACCCGAAAGGCAGCGGTCTAGCACATGGTCAGTTCACTGACTCATGCGGATTGGTGTCCTGGATCTTAGCAGGGAGAAGGGCGAAACCCAACTCCCACCCAGCGGTCGCCACGAGGAGGCGCCCAGGACATGAGCCAATGGCACAACAGTAGCAGAAGTGGGTAGACCATCTGTCAGGATCTAGCCACCACCAGCCTCAGCGCACCATAGGCTCTCCCGCCCTGCTACTGAAAGATAATATCAATGAAACTTACCTAAGTGGGGAGAAAAATGAAACGTACACAAATCCCGCTCCAACAACTGCTCGCGCAGCATGTGACTGTCGCTGGGTCAACAAGTAAACGTGACAGTAAGGTAAGATAGTGTTACGATACGATGAAGTGTGGAAGGATGAAGTTTTGATTTTTGTATATGTAAAAGAGAACGTCTTTGAAAGGTCACTGTGCAGTGGATGAAATCGGTCATCTTAGACCTAGGAAAAAAATTATTGCGGGCATCAAGATGTTTAGAAAGGGTCAAATTAACTATACCATTTCCCGGCCAAGTTGTCCACTTGGGCAACAGAAATAATCTGAGGGGGCATTCAAAATGAGTCTACTCATTTTTCAGTGGTCAGGCCAGGTGTCAACTCGTCCTATTGCTCTCTCATCGCCTAATACTAAGTACGTCCATTCGGCCGTGCATGTGCTCCCCGGTCGCCAAATGGAATACGCATGCGTTGGTGCAACAACACTGTTCACGACCAACTGGACGAGGCAAGTCACGGACTTTGGTATCCGATGGCAACAACCGGCGTTATGCACAGGGCACCTCAGGGTACT